TTTTTTTCCCGGTGTTTTTTGGGGAGTTTCTTTTTTTTTTTTTTTTTTTGGTTTTTTGAGACAGGGTCTCGCTATGTAGTGGAGACTGACCTGAAACTCGCTGTGTAGCCCAGGCTGGTCTCAAAATCACAGCGACCCTCCTGCCTCAGCCTCCCAAGTGCTGGGATTACAGGCGTGCGCCACCGCACCTGGCTGGAGAGTTTCCTTTCTACCAAACTGCTGATAGGAACTGTGTGCGTTAGTGCGACCATGGGAGGCTACGGGTGGTGATAGTGACAGTGTATGTTCCACGTTGGTGAGCATGGGAGGCAAGGGCTGTTCATGTCCCCATGTGTTCATCAAGCAGAGTCACCTACACAGGGCAACTCACTCAAAGGGCACCACCAGCGTATGTTGAAAACATATCCCCATCCCCTGCTGCAGGTGAGTGTTTGTGGGTGCTGTCAGAGGCCTGCTCCTCTTCGGAGAGATTGGATCTGCAGCTGGGGAGCTGGCTGAAGACCGGGCAAAGGATGCTGGGATAGAGTGTGGGCAGGGAGCCCAGGATGGGGCAGCTGCCTGTGGAAGCAGCCAAAATGTCCCCAGCTCCAGCAGGGGTGGGTAGAAGGATTAGATGACAGTCCCCTAACCCAGCCCGGAACTAACGCCCTCCTCTCCCTCACACATGCACCCAAGCTTGCCAAAGCTCAGAATAACCTAGAGAAGCAGACAGCAGGATGACAGGGGCTCTGCTCGGTGCCCTGCTCCTCCTGGGGCTCCTTGGTAGGGAAAGGGTCAGGGGAGGCAAGTGGACAGACACCAACATGAAGGGACAAGGATAAAGACAGAGACCAACACATTGACTAAGACACTGTACATTTAGTCCTGAGGCTTAGGAGACCCAGCGGGGCAGAGAGGCTCTACCGCCTCTTCCCGGTCAGTGACTCTTCTTTCCTGATCCCCTCCCAGGCAGAGGTGAGGGGATCAATGAGGAGCTGAGTCTCTATCAGCATCTTTTCAACAACTATGACCCAGCATGCCGGCCTGTGAGGGGGCCTGAGGACACTGTCACCGTCAGCCTCAAGGTCACTCTGACCAACCTCATCTCGCTGGTAAGATGCCCATTCCCACCCAGAGCCTCAAATCCCACCTCCGACCCCTGACTGGCGAGCTCTGTTCTAACGCTCACCTCTCACCCTTGAAATTGGGCCTGAATCACCTCAATCTCCCTGCTGCAGAACGAGAAGAAGGAGACTCTCACTACCAATGTATGGATCGGAATCGTGAGTGAAATCTGGGGAGCATTGTGGGGTTTGCTAGGGAGCGCCTTTCTTCCAAAGGCCTCCTGGGCAGCACCAGGTGGGACGGGCACGGCACACGTCCTTCCGTCACCCCCCTCGTAGGACTGGCATGATTACCGACTCAACTACAGCAAGGACGACTTCGGGGGCCTAGGAACCCTGCGAGTCCCTTCCGACCGCGTCTGGCTGCCAGAGATTGTGCTGGAAAACAAGTGAGGACTGTCAGTCAGGATGCCAAGCTGCTGAGCAGCCGGCCGGGGTGGGGTGGGCTAGGCTGGATAGGCTTGGGGCAAGGGGTGTTTGGATGCGGGTTCAGACCTGTGAACTAGCTTGGTTTTCTTGGGTCCACAGTATTGATGGCCAGTTTGGCGTCGCCTACGATGCCAACGTGCTGATCTACGAGGGCGGCTACGTGTCCTGGTTGCCTCCAGCGATCTACCGCAGCACCTGTGCTGTGGAAGTCACCTACTTCCCCTTCGACTGGCAGAACTGCTCTCTCATTTTCCGGTGGGAGGAGTCACTCGACAACCCTCCCCGCTGTTGTGGGCGGGGCCTGCTAAGGGGGCTGGCCCAATAGGGAAGTGGGATCTCTGGGGTGAGGTTTTTTCCGGAGGCAGAGCCGGGTTTTGGAGTGGGATGAATCAATGCAGCTGGTTTTAAAGAATGGCGTCCCAGTTACTCTGGAGGTTGAGTCAGGATGATTGCTTGGGGCCCAGGAGTTCAAGACCAGCCTGGGCAATATAGATAGACCCTGGCTCAAAAAAACAAACACGAAGGGCTGGGGATGTAACTCAGAGGTAGAGTGCTCGCTTAGCACGTGCAAAGCCCTCGGTTCAATCCCCTGTATTGCAAAAAACAAAACACGAAGTAGGGATGCAAATTAAGGTGTGCAGATAAGGCCAGGGTGAAGGGGTGGAGCCCCTATTACCAGTTTTGAACTTCTGGGGTCGGGGCCCTGGTCCTGGTTTCGCAGCTCTCAGACTTACAGTGCCAAAGAAGTGGAGTTCATCTTTGCCATGGACGACGAAGGCGAAACCATCAACAAGATCGATATCGACACTGAAGCCTTTACTGGTGAAAGCTCTCTCTTGATTCAAAAAGCCAGCTTCCAGAGGGTTCAAGAAAAGGGACTTTCAGAGTGAGGTTGGCCCAGACCCCACCCCCCACGGGAAATGTCAGCAACCCGGCTCAACTTGCCTGTCTCCGGAAATCATTCTAGATTGTCCCACTAGTCCTGCCTCTCACTTGAGGTCTCTCTAATGCCCTCACCTAGAATGGCCTTTTCTACCCAGATTCCACCAATTCTGCCCGCCCTTGGCCCAAGTTGTCCACCCTTAGCCCACTCAGCTGCATCCTCCTCGGCCTGGAGTTGCAGGTTTCGGTGGTGGCCGGAGAGCGGCACAGGGCACCCCGCCTCTGTGAGCAGCTGACTGCGCCTCCCACCCAACAGAGAACGGCGAGTGGGCCATCGACTTCTGCCCTGGAGTCATTCGCCACCAAGACGGTGGCTCGGCAGACCACCTGGGAGAAACTGATGTCGTCTACACGCTCATCATCCGCCGGAAGCCGCTTTTCTACGTCATTAACATCATCGTACCTTGCGTGCTCATTTCCGGCCTGGTGGTGCTGGCCTACTTCCTGCCGGCGCAGGGTAAGGGTGACCCCGAATCCACACCAGGTCTTTCTTCCCAGGTCGGGAACCATTCTCACCAGGTGCTCTCTCTAGCTGGTGGCCAGAAATGCACTGTCTCTATCAACGTCCTGCTCGCCCAGACTGTCTTCTTGTTCCTAATTGCTCAGAAAATCCCAGAGACATCTCTGAGCGTGCCACTGCTGGGCAAGTAAGGACAGAGTGGGTCTTGAGGTCACCCGCGTGGGGGCGGGGCCAGGGGACTGGGGCGGGAACGCGGCCCGACTGGGAGGGGTGAGGCCTAAACCCAGTGACTAGGAGAAACTGGCTGTTCTGACCCCTCTGGACTTTATTTGGACATGCGGTGGAGCTAGGGTGGTGATGGATGCTCTGGTTTCTTGTCCTCCTCACTGCTGCTGGACGTCACCTTGAGGTCTCCCGAGTGTCTCTGTTGGGGGACAGTCTGGCTCGGCGTCTCCTCAGCCCCATCTCTGGCACCCAAAGGACATGCCCCCCACTCCAAACTCACTGGCTCCCCGGGGATTCCGAGGCCCAGCTGGCGCGGCCACTGTTGCAGGAATGAAGCAGACCCCTGCAGACCCCGTCCACACAGCCACAGCCCCTGGACCAGGAGCCGGGCGCTCCAGCCCACCGCAGCCCCAGCTTGCAGAGCCCCATGTCCGGCAGCCTGAGCTACCCGGGCCAGTGCCCCACCCGGATCTCCGGCATCTGCAGCTCGCCCTGGGCTGCTGTCGCTGCTGTGCAGTCCTCGTGTTTCCTGTTGCAGCCAAAGGGCTGATATCTGCGTTAGGGGTCAGGGTTAGTGAGGGCATGAGGTGCCTGTCTGACGCCTATAGCCCTCTTCCCTGGCCCCTTTTCTCCCCACACTTTCTCACTTCCCACACCCACCACAGTCCCACACCTCTAACAAGGTGACTCCGAAGCTCATGATGCTGGTCATGGCTTCTCTTAGCACCAGCCCCAGGGTGGGCTCCTCGGGCTCCTGCGGCTCCAGGGACTTCAGCTCTCTGAACCTCTGCTCCAGATATTCATGGGCTGCAGCCACTGCCAGTTCCAGGGAAGATAGAATCGGGGGCTGGAGAGCCACCTGGAAAAGGAGCAGAGGCAGTGGGGTCGCAGGACACGGGTCGTGTTGGGGTCATGTTGGGGGACCTCCCCAGAGGTTCTCTAGGTGCTGCCCTTGAGTGGGCCCTTCAAGTAGCCTCACCTCGGTGGAGCTGTGATAGTGGTAGACCCACAGCAGGGTGTCCAGGGAGCTGGGGGTCCCTTTCATGGCCGCTGCAGAAGGTGGGAGGGAAGGGTCGGGGAAGACACTGGCCTAGCAGCCCCTCACCAAGAGGTGTTTGTGAGGTCAGAGGACCAGCTTGAGGGAGTGGGGAGGGAGATGGTGATGCCAGAGAAGCTGGGATGCTGTGAAGTCACACACCCCGGACTTCTCAGGTATCTCCTTTTCGTCATGGTGGTCGCCACACTCATAGTCATGAATTGCGTCATTGTGCTCAATGTGTCTCTGCGGACGCCCACCACTCATGCCACTTCCCCGCGGCTGCACCACGTAAGGCCAGGGTTGGGAGCCCAGAGGTGCGCCACAGCGGACCCTAGGAGGGGCGTGGCTTAGCTGGCCCCGCCCTCCGACCCAGGTTTTATTGGAGCTGCTGCCACGCCTCCTGGGTTTGGGACCGCCCCCCGAGGCTTCCCAACCCTCCGCGCCCCCTAGGCGGGCGTCCTCCGTGGGCATCCTGCTCCGCGCAGAGGAGCTGATTCTGAAAAAACCACGGAGTGAGCTCGTGTTTGAAGGGCAGAGGCACCGGCACGGGACCTGGACCGGTGAGCACTGTGACCTCTGCAGCCCAACGGGAACCCCCTGCAGTGGGAGCAGCTCTTAATGACCCAGCCCGGTGTCACTCCACCAGCTGCCCTCTGCCAGAGCCTGAGCGCTACAGCCCCCGAAATCCGCTGCTGTGTGGATGCTGTGAACTTCGTGGCTGAGAGCACGCGAGAGAAAGAGACGATCGGCGAGGTGGGTTAGGAGCAAGAGGGCTCTATAGAGCACCCCCACCCATACAATTCCCTTCAGGTTCAGCTTGCACTGTCCTTTCTCCAGGAGGTGTCCGACTGGGTGCGAATGGGCAAGGCCCTTGACAACGTCTGTTTCTGGGCCGCTCTGGTGCTCTTCAGCGTAGGTTCTAGCTTCATCTTCCTTGGGGGCTACTTCAACCAAGTGCCAGATCTCCCCTACCCCCCATGTATCCAGCCTTGAGCCTGTGCCTACAGACTTGGACTGTCCCACCTACTTCAGCAAGCAATAGATTTTGAAAAACAAGCTGCTCTCGCTAACGTATTACGATCTTTTCCCATTGCTGACAATAAATGTCTTAGAAGCTTCCCAACAGAACTGAATGTGCCCATGTGGGTAGGTAGGGCCCCTGTACTGGGGTCAGAAGTGGAGGGCAATGGGCTTAGACTTGGTACCAATCCTCCAGAGAGCAAGGCTTCAATGCCTTTCTGCCTTGAGGCGTATTTTTTGAGTCTTCCTGCATAGCTCAGGCTTCCCTTGAACTGAGATACTCCTGCCTCAGCCTCCAGAGTACTGAGATTACAGGCATGCAGCACCAAGCCTCACTAGGTCTATGAGCTTCTAGATAATTTTATTCAGTTGATATCAATTAGCAAACCCTTTGTGCAGGACCTGCACATGAGAAGCCTTTTGCTTCTCTGGCCTGGTTCTGCTGGTGTGGGTAGGGACCATACACCCTCAGTGAAGGTCACCCACAGTTTAGGGCTGAGGATGCCCTGGCTTTTCTTGGGCACGTCTTCTAGGCCCAGCACTGAGTATGTTAGCCTACCCCCACAGGACTCACTTATCAGATTCCATACCCTCTACCCCTGTATTCTAACTCTGCAGGTTCTCTGGCTAGTAGCCAGGGTAGTGAGAGAAAACAATAATATAGGCCCTGAAATAGTGGGCGCTGGTTGAATTCTTTATTAACAAACAGGATATCCAAGGCCACTACATTGAGGAGGGGCAGGGCAGGGAAGAGAAGGGCTACTTGCTGCTCACACTATATACAGATGCAAGCAAAGGGGTATGGAGGGCGAGAACTCCCTGCTCTCTCCCTCCACCAGGGAAGGGGAGAGGCTAGATGGGGGCTGGAAAAGGGGGGATGTTTTGGTTGGCGGGGTCATCCCTCCATTCCCTGGGGTTTGAGGGGGAAAGGAATCATTAAAGTGCTTTCAGAAAATGAGGAAATGGTCCCTGCCCCTGGAGTGGCTTGTGACCCCACCCCCCCAAAACTTAGGGCCAATGACTCCCCCCAGAGTCTGGTACATTCAAGGGGGGAGCCGGCTCCCCTGACGTGCAAATGAAGGGGTCCAGGGCCCTGCCCAGTCAGCAGCAGTGGGGTAAGGGGTCTGAGCCCCAAGCACTCTCCTAAGTGGAGAAAGGAGGCAGAGGAGGCCCATTCTACTCCTGGTAAGAAGCTGTGTCCCTCCCCAGAAGGTGGGGATAGGCACAGTTTAAGGGAGAGAACATGTTGGGGAAAAGGATGGTCACATGATCACAAAAGCATGGGCAGTGGTCGGAGGTCACGTTCCCAGCTGGCTCCAGTGAATCAAACCAATAAAAGCAAAAGCCCAGGGAAGAGAATGGGGGCGGCCGGGGATATCTGGCTGAAGGAGCTGGTCCAGTGTGGGTGGCCCCAGCCCGGCCATCACCAGTTCATAATGCAGTTCCGGTTCAGGGTCATGAAGTAAACTTGGCTGCTGCCCCCAGAGCGGACAGAGGCAAAAAACACCTGGGTGGGAAGGAGAGGAAGTCACCAAGGGCTGGGGAGTGGGCTCAGAGCTCAGTTAAGGAGAGAGAAGGTGAAAGAAAGAAGGGCTGGGTATGTGGCTCCCTGCCTAACATTTGCCTACAATGTGTGAGCCCCTGGGTGATCACGACCAAAAGAGGGGTAAGGGGAGACTGACTGCAGGATGGGCTCAGGGCGCCTCTCCTACCACAGGGAAAGACAGCTGTGCTACCAGATCTCTGGGGTGGAAGCAGCTCAGATGCAAAGGAGAGGAAGGCAGAGGCTCTGACTACACACATTCTGCCTCCAAGGGGCCCAATTTCACACCACCCTCTCCCCAGGGCCCAGGGTCTAGGAACCAGCCCTGCACAGGGGTTTGGGCAACAGCCTCCCACCTTGTCGTTTCGCTCACACAGGAACTTGAGCCTCTGGGCCCGTTTGTGCATGAAGACCCCATCCAGGTGTCCCGTCTCCACAGAACGGATCTCAATGGCTTTCTCACCCCAGCCCATTATCTGGTTGGAGCAGATGTAGGCTACAGGGAAAAGGTAGAAGAAAGGCAGTGAGTGAATGGCTGTGTTTGTGGGCCACCTTAGGAGCAAGCAGCCTGGAGGGCAGCCCTTCACGCACCCACAGAGGTGGGCATCTCTCCCCACTGCAGCACCACATCTTTTATGATCCGCCCATAGGTGTTGACATAGACACCCTCATCTTCATAGCACAGCAGCATCTCCATGCCATCGGTGTTGGGGAGGAAGATGATGGCATGGGGTGTGATCTGGCTCTGGATCTGGGGAGGAGAAGGCGCACTGGTATCTCCACATCTGGTGTTCAGACTGTGAGGTCCCACACTCCCCACTGGCCCGCCAAGCTCACATGCACAGGGATGTAGATGTCATAGCTGTTCCCCGAGTCAACATCCACAGCATGGAAGCCAGCACTGGAGCCGTAGATGACCTTAAGCCGCTGTCCCTCCTCTACCGTCAGGTCGACGAGCAGAGGGCGGTGAGGGAGGTCAGCAAAAGACTGCGGAGGAGAGAAGCTCTCAGAAGGACAGGTGGAGGAGCCAGACCTTGGAACAGGACTGGGGGGCTGAGACTAGGATTACCTTGAAGGCCATGAATTTGTGGTAGGGTTTGGGGGCCCAGGCATACACCTCCACAGAGTTCTTCAGGGCAATGACGAGGAACTTAATGCGCTCGTATTTCACTGGGGGCAGGAAAAGAGGAGGATGAGGGGACTCTCCTTTTGAGGCTGTAGGTCCCCTTCCCCAAGTCTCTCACCTTGCTGCCCCCCAAGCCTAGCCCCACTCTGGCTTTGAAGATTCCCCAGCATTTAACCCGAGGCCCATTTCTCACAGGCCACCCCATGTGACATCCTCACCGACACGGTAGTGTCCGCAGCCCTCCATGTCCCCCACAGTGGTCCAGCCCTGCTTCTTCTCCACCTCTGGGTCATTGTGCAGGATCTTGTTCCGGAGCCAGGACAGGTAATACACCCGTAGTTTGTTCCTTTTCCCTGAGGGATGGACACACATCCACACACACATCCACACACACACACACTCTCCCGTCCTCCTTGGAGGCCCAACTACTCCCTCTCCCCCTCCTGTCCGCACACCACAGGGGTGAGAAAGCGTGGCCCCACCTTCCAGCTCCTAACAAGGCTGCCCTCCTGCCAGGCTGAAGACAGTGACAGAGCTGAGGAGCGGGCACACACATACCTGAGATGGTGATGAGCAAGTTGAGCCCCTCCAGTACATCCATTTGCTGGAAGCGTCGCCGCCCAATGAGTCCATACACCTTGCCCTGCCCGCTTCGGTCCAGCAACATTAGCCCATTCTCTGTACCCACCAGCAGGTTGACACCTGCAACAGAAGCCCTTGCACAGGTCAGGCACACAGCCAGGCCCTCACCTGAACAGGAGCACGGGAGATATACCAGAGCCCGCTCTGCTCTCCAGTCTAGCTTACCCCAAAGGGCCGCGCAGAGGATCTCAGAATTGAATCGCTTCTTGTACTTCCGAATCTCAGGAGTTTCACTGTGAGCCCGAGTGTTGGTAGGATTCACGTTGACCACAGAGCCTTTTCTCACATCATACTGCAGCTGATCTAGCCGAGCTCCCTCTCCACCTACAAGGGCTGCCAGGAGGAAGAGAAGGGAGGATGGGCTGCATTCTCCCAAGTTTCTCTTTACCTCGGTAACCCTTCATTTGGTCTTGGCACCCCAGAATATTCAAGGCGGAATGGAAAGACTGCAGAACACAGGAGGTGCATGGAAGAGAGGAAAAAACCCTGGTCTGAAGTCAAAAGGCCTGGCTCAAGTCCTAGCTGCACTACTCATCAGTTTCAAACTTTTGCCCGGGCCCCTTGGCCACTTTAAACTTTTGCCTCCTCTGTCAAAGGGCCTCAGAAACCTTCTCTCTCAGGCCAGGAATTTAGCTCAGTGGAGCTGCCACCTGCCTGGTACCAGAAAAAAAGAAACCCTTTCTTGTCTCTGTGCCAGGGCAACGGGCCAAGGCCCAAAGGAGAAGGTTCATTATCTATGCTTTATAAAACTGTGTTCTCAGAGTCACCTGTGAGCCCCTCCAGGCCTTCTCTGGACCTTAGCCTCATGGCAGATCTCACCTGTGATGGGGATCGTGTCCCCACTGCCTCCAGGCTGGTAGATTCCTAGATCCACAAACATGGTGAACGAGCTCTTGCCAGGGGCCTTTACCAGACCACGAGACTGGTACTGTGGGGAAGGGCAGGAGTCAGGCAAACAAGGGTGACCCCAGACTACGGTCCAGCCCTCCCAGGCCTCCACTGAGCAGTTCACGGGGCAGAACCCCTACCTACTGCAATGCACCTAGAGTCCCTGGCTCCCCTGTGCATTTCTGGGTACTTCTTCCACCCCATGCAGCTGTTCCGACCTACTTACATCACTGCCTCCATCCTTTGAGGGGGGACTTTGACCTTTGCTGTTCTCGGTGGGTGAGTGGCTGGGCTGGACCACATCTGGAAGGTTTGTGTAGCCATTGCTGTCAGCATGCAACAGGCTTCGTTCCTCCTCAGGAGTCTGCAGAACAGAATTGAATCGCTTCTTGTTAGAAGCTGGTCAGCGCTGGAGTGAGGGGGGCTGGCTGTAAGCATGGGGAAGGTGGCAGGCTCACTTACACGTTGGACCACCATGGTGCCACCTCCGTAAGGAGGCTGGGTCCCAGATATCTCCTCAACATCGTGAACCACCATGGTGCTGACACTGTCCGTGTCTCCATCGCTGCTGTGGGAGAAAGGAAGGTGGGGCCTTCTAGGTCTTGCCACCCAAGCGCCACAGGTGCAGATGACAGCCACGGACCTGGGCTTTCAGTCTCTTCAAAATACATTTGTTCTGCCCTCAACTGAGCAGTCGGGGGTTTGTGCCCTGCCTCACACTCAGGGCAAGCTGGCACCTGAGTGACACAGAAGTAACCAATAACTTGACAGAATAGCAGGAAAGACAGGAACCCAGTGCCCCACTCTATTCTCTAGAGAATGGGGATCACAGTACTTTAGACATGGCTCACATTCTGACCCTCATTCCCTCTCCCCTGAAAGGGGAGGCTCCTGTCCTACAATGCTCCTTACCGGCCCCCAGGGGTGTCTCTGCTCCCCTCTGATGGTTCACCATCGCCTTCTTCCTCATCATCTTCACTGCTCTCTACCTCCTCACTGGATGATGAATAATCCATGGCTTTCTTGGGTGGCCGGGGGGCTTCATCCAAGGTTCGCTCTTTCAGCAACACAAAATCCTGCAGGGGAGGACAGGCATGAGTGGAGGGAACGGGATTGATTGGACAGAGCCAGTAAAACAGGTGCCAGCAGAGACCTGGGCAGGGAACAGGACAGGGCTTGCGCAGTGGCTGTCTCACTAACCTCACCAATTGCTCGCTTATAGCTCTGGGAGGGGCCGCAGGGCAAGAAAGGCAGCCAGGAAGAGGTAGGAGAGATGATAAGAAAGGTTAGTAACTTTGAGATGTGCCTGTCTGTAATCCCCAGTCCTTCCTCACATGGATTAGTGAAGACCCCACCCCTGATACCCCATCTGTGCCCACCCCATCCCCAGCTCTGAAGGCTCCACATCCTGTCTAAATGCCACACCAGAATAAGGCAGGCCACACCCACCACCAGATGACTCACTGCGGGCCGGCCTGGCCGTGAACGGTGGTCATCGGGCTTGGCTTTGTTCCCAGGGGAGAGCACTGGGGAGCTGTCCAGTTTGGTGGAGGCTGGACCAAGCAGGTGGGAGAAGGG